CCACCTGGCACACCCTCCCTCCCGGCATTGCTCACTGGACTCTTCAATCAGCTTCCTACTGAGTCACTCGTTCACGAGGCCAATGCAGGGGCAAGCGAGGGACTCATCCTGATGGAGTGCCCACCTGTGTGCCAAGCCTGCACAGGTACCCACCCCCTTCTCCTCATTTAACCCTCACAACACTGTTATGACCATGCCTCCCTGACCCAGGGCTTGCTGCTCTGTGCCAGGCACACTGCTAGGCACTCGGGGGGAGGGGAGGGTTGGGGTGGCACAGCATCTGGTTCTAACAAGGGAAGGGAAGGGAAGCAGACCTGCACAACCCCCACCACAGGCCACAGTCAGTGAGCAGAGGGCCGGGGATCAGCAGCAGAGGAGGGCTGGATGCCACCTGCTTGGGAGGAGTCCTGGAGGCTCCTAGGAGGTGGCAACTTCGAGCCTGGGTGGACTCTTCATACTGCTCTCTCCCACCACCACTGCAGCAGGAGAAAGGGCAAGCCTTGGCCTACACAGCTCTGGTGCCTGTGTGTGCTTGCAGCCCTGAAGGGGGTGAAGGGAGGAGAAGCCGGCTGTCCTGCCAGCTGCCCCGCCAGTGACCCCACTGTGGCCGGGCCGGCCTGCCTCCAGTGCTGCCAACCTGGCCTGGCCCAGCCAGCTCCCAATCACAGGGTCGTCTCTGCCAGCTAATGACCATGCCGCCTGCAGCCCAGGCCACCACCCTCCTTGGGGTGAGGCAGCAGCTACCCACAGAGCCTGCTGGACCAGACAGTGGCCAGGCCAAAAATCACAGCTGCCTGTTATACCACATCCTCTGGCCCTGGTGCTGTGGTCTCCTCCTCCTCCTCCTCCTCCCAGGGTCACGAAGGATACTGTAGAATGCTGGAGCTACAGGGGAGCTCAGCCCCACCGCTCCCCATAGTCATAAGCAAACAGGTGCAGATCCAGGGCCTGGATTCCCCATCCGGAGGTCCTGCCATGCCGCATGCCCCGTCCAGCACTGCTCTTCCTCAGCCTTGAGAAGAAGGCGTGTGTCCTGTCTTTATGCATGCAAAGTGTGCTTTCGAGGTACTAGGGCAGAGCTGAGGAGACAGGACATCTCCTAAGCACAGATTCCAATTTGAACAAACGCGGCTTGACTCCCTGCTCCCCACCATCTAGCTGTGTGACCTTGAGCAAGATAATGGACCTCTCTGAGCCCCAGTTTCTGGGGGATAATAGTAGCTACCTCTGAGAGTTAGCGTGAATGAGATTGCAAAGCGCTTAGTGCATTGTTTGGCTTGTAAGTACTCAAGAGTATTAGCTATTGTTAACATCTTATTGTAGTATGAAATGAGTGTGTGAATCCATTTTACCAACTGTAAAATGGTATGGGTGGTAGGGATTGTCTATTACTACCACCGTTTAATATTAAAGATTCAGAGGGGACATGAACAGAAGGCTGGGTACTGCAGGAATGTTTCTGGGGGAACATTCAGTTTATGACCTGAGTTGGGCCTTGACAGATGGGGAGGTGAGCGGAGGAGGCAGGATGGTGGTTCTGACGGGAGGCGCCCCACAGGCAAAGGGGCAGTGACGGGCACACGGGGTGTGTTCAGGAGACAATGATGAGCAACGAGCCAGAGGGCCATGTGGTGGCTACAGTGGGCCAGGACATGAATGCCACGGCTAGGGGCCTGGTCTTCATCTTACAGGCAGCAAGGAGCCACAGAAGGTTCTAAACGGGGACTCCCTGATGCTTTCTGAAATGTGAGTTCTGCCCAACATTCAAGGCTCTCGCCCACCTGGTTGCTCACCTCCCTTCTCCTCACCCCTCACCAGCCTCTCACACATCCCGGCTCAGCACCCGGAGTTCTCCAGCCCCTCAGCTTACCACACCATCTCCCCCCGCTAGCCAACCCACGTTCACGTTCACGATGAAGCACCCCTTGCTGAGTATCTATCATGCCATGTGTTTCACACATGCGACCTCATGGTCACCCCTAACAACCCTGAGAAGTAGGTTATCACTACCCTCATTTTACAGAGGAGGAAACAGAGGCCTGGCAGGGTCAGGTGTCCTGCCCGTGGTCTCACAGTGGCGAGGTGGCACAGCCAGGATTCTTACTGAAGGGACGTCAGGACCCCTACTCTGCAGCAAGATGCCTCTAGGTCCTGCCCAGACACCTACCTCCTTGACCAACCTGCCCGGTTACTCCCCCACCCCTTCCCGCCCTGTGTCCTCACCCTTACTCCTGCCCCTCACCTCTTTAAAATCAGAGGCCCACAGCTTGATCCCAGCTCAGCTAGTTTCGTTCCCATTGTTGCCTGTGGGTCCATCTGGCCCCCCAGCAGAAGCTAGCTAGGGGTGATGATGGGTTGGTCACTCTCTCCCTGTCCTATGCCCCCATAACACACTCCATATCATATCCAAGACTGCTAACAGCATAGAGAGGAGCCACCGCCTCCTCTGGCAGGGTTCAGAAGCTTAGCTGAACACAGAGCTATTTCCCCAGCCTGCCTCCCAGCTGAGGGGAGCAATAAATTATTCACTGTACCTTTGTGCCTCGGGAGGCCAGACAATGGGCCAAGGGAATGGACACCAGCTCCCCCCACCACAACTCCCCAGCAGGAGCCAACAGGGTTGGGGGTGGTGTCAGAATCCAGAGCCCCTTGTCAGTGTACCCAAGCAGACTCTAGAAGGCCCTGAGACTAGAGGAGGCGGCACAGGGCAATCTGACCCACACGGGAGCCTGAGCAGAGCAAATCCAGGTCTCTGAGCCCTCAACAGTAGTCTGCATTCTAATCTAAGGCAAGTCTGAGAATTTCCCCAGACTTCCTGGTCAAAATGCAAGCTTCCTTTTCTTCACAGGGAAGGAAATGGAATATTTGGCCAGGCACTGTATATTTGTATCTCACTTAATCCTCACATTACAGCCTGGTAACGGAGGTATTCGAATTTTACAGAGAAGTGGGGGTTCAGAGAAATGAAGTGATTTGCGCAGTGCCACTTGCCTGGGGGGAGGCAGAGCAGACTCACGCCCACCAGTCTGACTTAACCACTGAGGCTCACCAGTTATTTAGGTTCCAGGCTGCTGCTTAGCCCGTGTGGGTAACTCCCATGGCACCTGGTATGCAGCTGGCACTCAAACAGTCCAGAAGCAAACTCAAAGGCCCTGGGTAAATGGTTTTACCTCTCTGAGCCTCAGTTCCCCACACAAGTTAGCCATTAATAACAAGCCCAGTCTTGCTAACACAACAATTCCCTTAGCACTTGACAGTTTGCCAGATGTGATTACCCCATTATCTGAGCAGGTAACACACAGCCTGCCTTAACCCCATTTTACAGGTGGGGCTTGGAACCATGGACGCATCTGAGAGGTCCCCAGCGACTCCCCAACCCTGCTCTACCTCACTCCAGGTTTCAGATTCTTTCCACCATAGCATGAAATGAGATCACAGGTGTGAAACTTTCATCAAACAGGAGCTTTGTTTAGATGCAAGGATTATTATGAGGATTTGAATCCCTGGACAAAGGTTGGGGGGAGGAGGAATCCCAAGCCCCTAAGTCATCTTCTCTCCAGGTTCCCCCAACCCCTCCACCCCAGGACTGAGCTTCCAGTCTTTAGCTGACCACTTGCCACCCTCCTCTACCTTCCAGGTGGTTTCCACCTTTTCAAGGTGGTTTCCCCTTAACTGCAGGGAGCTGGGCACAGCAGGGGTTAATTAGTCCCAGCCAAGGCCACAGGGCCCAGACCAAGGCCGTATCCCCTCCCCCTCCCCACCCAGAAGAGAGCCCACAGAGTCCACGCTGAGGGCTCTTTCCCAACACCCTTTGCCCTATACGGCTGGCCCCCAGGGGCAGCAGGAGGAGCCCCTGACTGAGAATCAGGACTCCTCGCCTGGGACTATGCCCTCAGCTCAGTGAGCCCCAGCCTTGAGACCTTGAGAGGCCCCTCCCCTCCTGGGCCAGGGGTGTCCTGCAGGTTCCCCTGCCCAGGTGAGACTAAGGTTGGACCTTCCATCTGGGCCAAAGGCTTTGGGGCTGCTGACATTTCTCAGGCCCCAGCACCAACCACACGGATGCCTCATACATGGTCACCCCGACCTCATATCAGGAGTGGAGAAAACCCCAGCCGTCTACCCAGAAGATGCTAACTGAGGAGGGGAGTGGATACCTTGAAAGGTGTTGTGAAGGTTTTCTCAAGTCTGCTTCTGGCTCAGCCAACTCACTGCCTTTAGGGCCTGGGCAACTGGCACCCCCCTTGGGTGGGCCTCAGTGTCCCCATTAGTAATGGGATGCAGGTGAGCTGGGTGAGTGCTGAGGGGTCGCGTCTCTTCCAGCTCTGACTGGCTCTGACTTGGAGATCTCCACAATGAGTCACATAAGTGGCATCTCAGGACCTCCAGAGTGTCTTAGAGACCTGGAGTCTGTCACAGAGCCCACAAGCAGCAGCAGCTCTCCCATCCTGGGCCCACAGGGAGAGACACTTTGGGACTAGAAAGCTTCCCGCCTCTGCCTTCAACTCTGGGTCACCTTTCCTGGGAGGTGACATGGCCAAGGAGTGGGAGGAAAGGAGAAGCCACCTCCCCAGCCTCAGATGCTCCAGTGGCCCCACCTTGATCCCCTCTCCTGCTTGCCGGCTTCTCCCCTCACTCTTTGCTTCTTCCACTCTTCATCCTCTGTCCCCTCCCCAGTCTCACCCGCGCAGTGAAAAGAGAGGGTCATTCAGCCCATGGAGCCTCAGTTTCCCCATCTGTAAGCGCCCATAACAATGCACAACACCTATCGGAGGGAGCAGCAGTGAGCCTTAAACGAGGGACCATTTGTGCAAGGGCGGGGCGCGGACCTGCACACAATGGGCGCTCAATAAGTGCCCGTCCTCTCCCTTCCCCCTCCCCTCCCCGCGCCCTCTCCTAGCCCGTTCCAGCCTCTGCCTGTGCCCCCTACGCGCCCTCAGCCGGCCGCCGCGCTGCCGCGATGGGGTCAGGGACCGCTCCTGCCCCGCATCCGGGACTCTCACCTGCAGCCTCGGCTCTCGCTCCTGTCCCCTCTGCCGGGGCAAGCGGGGCCCTTGTGTTGTTTTCGGGGAAAGCGCTGAGCCCCTCGCCAGGGTAGGACGAAGGTGGCAGCTTGGGTTCGCAGCACCAGGCTAGTGGTTCGGTCCGACCGTCCTGCCCGCCTGGGACCCCTTACGGAGCGCTGGACCCGGGCCGGGGCTTCCTGGGCGTTCGCGCGGGTCCAAGCCCGAAGCACTCGGTCGGAGGCAGCTGAAGGTTCGGGTCTCGTGGAGCCAGGGGCTGGGGGCGTCCGGGCTTCTTTGCGCCCAAGTCAAGGGCCTGGGGCTACCCTGCGCTAACGCCGGGGCGGAGAGCGGGGGGCCCCGACACTCACCGATAGAAAGGCTGGGAACGAACCCGCAAGTACGGCCCCGTATGGGCCAGGAACGTCCCGCCCCGGTGCACCGGATCGGGGCTGGGGCTCAGGGCGTCCCGGCCGCACGCTTCGGACAGCGGGACTGGGAGTGTCCGGGTGCGGAACGCGGGGCTGGGACCGGCAGGGTAGGGCAGGACAGGCGCCGGCGGGGAGGCGCGGCGGCCGGAGCCCCGCGGGGAAGTCTTCCCGGGTCCGGACTTGGCTGGCGCTGCAGAACGGGGCGGACCTCGGCGCCGCGGCTGACTCCCGAGCTCCGGGCCGCGGTTCCACTTCCTCCTCTTCCCCTGCTCGCTCGCCGCTCGCTCAGCTCCGCGCTGCAGCCGCTGCCACCGCCGCTGTCATCCCCGCCGCCCACCCCCACCAGAGCCGCAGCCGGAGCCCGAGTCGGAGCCGGAGCCAAGCCCAGCCCAGGCAGCACCGCCCAGCGCCGGAGCGCCAGCCAGCGCGGCCCCGCCCGGCTGGGGCGGAGTCAGAGGAGGCCACGCCCCCGCCGGGCGGCGGGCAAGGGCGGGGCGTGCGCCGGCTCCCCTTCCCGGGCCCCGCGCCGCGGGGCGGCAGGAGCCAATCGGAGAGTGGGACGGGGCGGGCTCTGCGGACGCGCGCTCCTCCTCGGAGAGGGCGGGGCGGGCGCTGGGGAGGTGCGGCCGGAGGAGGACAATGGGCCGGTGGGGTTTAAAGAGCCGAGCCGGAGGCGGGTGACCGCGGGATCAGCACGGGGGAAGGGTCGTGGGGGGCTGGCTTGTCTGGGACGGGGCATCCGGACTGCTGTGGGGGGATGGGACACCCGCGGTAGGCCGTCCCGGGGACGCTGGAGCACCTGGGGGTGGTGGGACGCCGCCCTCGTGCTGCCCCTCGGCGCTGAGCGCACGGAGTGAGAGTTGGGCGCTGTGAAATGTTCGGATTTCAGGAAGCGGTGAAAAATAAGTTTTGAAAATCAAGAGCGGATCTCTCTTCCACACTTCCCCCTTCCCAGAGCCCATCCCCGGGGAGGAGCGTCGTCGGCAAGTTTTAAAAATGTGAAGTCGAGAGCTGAATCGCGCGAGGACGACGCACGCCTCGAATCGTGATGTGTGTGGCGTCTGCTCCCGCCCCGCCCCGCTCCCCGCCTTGGGTGCAGGAGCCGCGTCTAACGTGTCTCTGCGTCCCCAGCGCCCTGCATGGGGCCGCGCACAGAGCAGGCGTTGGAGGGATTCGATGTATGAATGAATGGTAAATGTGCCGCGGGGGCGACGTGAAAGCCACTGACGGAGTACAGTTTCTCTGTAAGCCTCATGCCACCCTATGCGGTAGGTACCGCATTTCACCGATGAGGACCCAAGCACAGAGAAGCTAAGTGATCTTCCCAAGACCACACAGCTGGCACAGGATTCTATCCACCCATCACGATTGCATTCTAGGGCAAAACAGTGTGGCTTGAACAGGTTACTCTGCCTCTCTGAGCCTCTGGTTCCTCATCTGTAAAAGGAGAAAGGAGGTGCTGCTACCTTACCGGGAAACAACCGAGGGACTGCGCAGGCACCAGACTTCAGAGGATGGAGGGAAGGGCATTCCTGGAGGGGGAACTGCGTCAGTCTCAGGGCTGAGAGACTGGTTGGAAGAACACGGAAGAGAGTGAGCTGGAGGCTGAAGTCCAGGCTGGGGGCGTAGGGGTGCCCTCTCTTAGCCAGGCCTAGGGGCTGGAGGTGGGGAGGTTGGCCCCAGGAAGCTCGCATTGGTTGCTAGAGCCTGCGGGCTGGTAGGAGGCAATTTTGCCTTACCCGTTGAACTTGGTAATGGTGCTAAGAAACCTTGTGACTTTTCCCTCTGCTCAGAACCTTCTGTGGTTCTGAGTAGCCAGCATGATCAAGCCCCTAAGTCCCTAACCAGCCCTTCCATTACTGCTCTCTGCCAACCCCACCGGCCTCATCTTTGCATCACTTACTCCCCTCTCCTCTTGCACCAAGCTTGACTCCGTCCACAAGCAAGATGAGTTATCTCCCTGCGGTTCTGTCTCCTCCATGTGGTTGCTCCTGCTGCTCCCCTTCTCTCTGAAGTTAATTCCTGCTTCTCTGCTGGGCTGAAGGGAATAACCCCGAGGCCAAATGCCTATTGGCTCTCTTCACTGCTATATCCCCAGAGCCTAGCACAGAGCAGGTGCTCAGTAAATACTTGTGTGTGTGTATGTGTGTGTGTGTGTGTGTGTGTGTGTGTTTCCAGGCAGAGTCTCCCTCTGTTGCCTGGGCTAGAGTACAGTGGCATCAGCTTAGCTCACAGCAACCTCAAACTCCTGGGCTCAAGTGATCCTCCTGCCTCAGCCTCCCAAGTAGCTGGGACTACAGGCACACGCTGTGACACCCGGCTAATTTTTCTATTTTTAATAGAGATGGGTCTTGCTCTTGCTCAGGCTGGTCTTGAACTCCTGACCTCAAGTGATCTTCCCACCTCAGCTTTCCTGAGTGCTAGGATTACAGGTGTGAGCCACCATGCCTGGCCAATAATTGTTAAATGAATGCTCCATCTCTCAAATCACACATCACCACCTCTGAGGAGCCTTCCTGAACTACCCCCGCCTTTGATGTGGGCTCCCTTGGCTTGAAGGTTCTGTAATTATCTATTTCCATGTCTAGTTTCCCTCCCACTGGGCCGGGAGCACCCCATGGCAGGGCGCCCCCACCCACCACCGCCCAGCCTGGTACTTGGCCTGCCCTTGTGAGCTTCAGCATTAGGAGATGAATGAATGAGGCTCTCAGAGAGGAGTTCTCTGGCCGCCCCTGCTGTGAGAGCCGCCTCAGCAGGGGTCAGATGAGCAGAATGTCAGAATGAAAAGGAGCTTTTCAGGAGACCCTCCATGACTTCTGGGTTGGGGGGAGACATGCCCAGGAGGTGACCGGCAATCAGACACCCACATCTGCCCTCTGGCCACCCTACCAGAGGGGAAAGAGTCTCCTGAATTGGAGGAATGTAGCCTTTCTGTGGTTGGGGAGACCCATGAAGCATGACAGAGGTGGCCATGGTGTTGTCCTGTCCAGGAGGGTGGTCCCGGGCCCAGAGGCTGGCTCTGAGCCTACCTGGAGGCCTTGTACCCCTCTGTCCCCAAGAACCTTTTGCCCTCCTCCTGCCTCCAGAGGCACGTTTACAGTGAAGCTCTCAGCTTCAGCTCCGGCCACCAAGCAGTCAGACGCAGCTCCTCACATTCTCATTGCAGATAATCCTTCACTTTCATGCTACATTTAAATTAGTAATTTTTCGGTGTGTGTGTGTGTGTGTATAAAATAGAATATTATAAAAAAATAAATAAATTAGTAATTTTGCATTTTCTTCAATAGGGCCACCGAATTATATGAGGCTTCACAACCCATGAGATCTGCTTCCAGCAAATCCTTCCAGTGTGCCCATGTGTGCAGCCCCTGTGCTAGGTGACAGCAGGTATGGCCCTGCCCTCCTGCTGCTCACTGTCTGGTGGGGTAGGTGGGCTTGACTCAGCTCATTGGACCCTCAAAAGGCTTTGTGCTTTCCTACCTCTCTGCTGTTGTCCCTGCCAACCTGGAATCTTTTTCCTGTCTCTCCTGCCTGCATGTGCCCAACTTGGCCAGTGGGGATTTTTTCGGTCCTTCAAGGCTCAATACACAAGCTGCCTTCCCTGAGAAGCCTGCCCATCTCGCCCAGTGGGAAGCATCACATCTTCCTTTGAAGCCTGTGACACTGAAGGCCCTTTGCACCTCTCTTGGAACTCTGATCCCCTTGGATCTTGGAGTGCTCTTGATGGGCCAATTTTCCTACCAGATTATGAGCTTCTAGAGGGCAAGGAATGGAGTCTGATGTCTCCCCACCCCAGCACTGTGCATCTCCAGCCCTCATTCACCACCGTTTCCAGAGCTGGGTGAAGTCCTAAACCAAACACTGGGTATCCAGGGATGGGACAGTCATGGAAGAACCCACCCTTGTCACCAGCGAACTCCCAGTCCCAGAGCTTTCTGCACAGAGGTGTGTACTAAGTGCTTTGTGAACAGAAGCGACTGCCTAATTCAGCTGGGTGAGGCCAGGTTTTGTCAAAGGCCACTTTACAGGGAAGGTGACACTTGGGTATCTAAGGATAAGCAGAACTTGTCAAGATAAGGAGGGAAGAGTCTTCAAGGCAGGGGGAACATTAAGCACAAAAGCATGGAAGTGGGCAGGTGATGGGTGAGAAGCTAGGTGTGTTTGGGGGAACAGGAGTGACACAGGAAGGGAGAAAGGGAGAAACAGGTCACACAACAGAACAGTTGGAGTATGGACTCTAGAGCCATGTGGCCTGGGTTCAAATCCTGGCGCTGCCAAGTACTAGCTCTGTCATCTTTCTGTGCCTCAGTTTCCTCGTCTATAAAGTGGGGATAATCCCAATATTTCCCTGTAAGGTATTTAGAATTAAGTGAGTTAATTTCTGTAGAGTGCCTGGCATAGTGTCGATACATATAAGCCCTGAGTGAGCGTCGGACAGTAAGACGGAGCTGGAGGGCAGATGGAGGCCGGGCCAGATGGGGTTTGAGGGTGGACTTTATTCTGAGGATGGGGAGCACTAACAAGTGGGGAGCGGGAGGGGGAGTAGGAGGCTTGGCTTGGATCCAGCCCACTCCTCACCACCCACACACGTCCAGAGGGCCCCCGGCCTGCCAGCCCCTCCTCCTCTCTGGCCTTCCCGTGCCCCAGTGGCCCTGTGGCCTCGAATGACGTATGGTGGGACTGTAGCGGCTGGGGCCACTCTTACCCCAGCACACCCAGGAGAAACTTTATGGCCCAATTTATTGCCAAAGGAGGTCAAGGAGGGGCCCTGACAGGGGCCAGGGCACCCAGGCAGGGTGAGCATCTGAGCCCCAGCCCAGCCTAAAGGGTGGTGGCTCCGGTGAGGGTGTGTATTGGGTGGGGCAAAAATGGAGGCACCGGGGTGGCTGGTGTCAAAAATCACCTGCCTGGGCTGGAGCACACACTGGATGTAGGACACTGGGGTGCGATGCTGTGGGCTTGAGAGCCAGAGGCACATCCTGGCCCCGTCCCCTCCCCTCTCTGAGCCTCAGCTTCCTCGTGTGTAAAAGGGAATGAAATAGTGGGCCCTCAACGGTGGTGAGGAGTAAAAGATCACCGTTCGGTCCGTGA